AGCAGGTAGTCAATTGACTAAAAACATTTATACAAGATTATGTTAACAATAACTGTCCTGGGCAACTTTTAAAATGCATTGAAATAAAATAAATAACTTGTCAAATAAATTGTCAATCATTTGTCTCCACACATCAAAAAATTAAAATTTATTAAAATTTAGCCATTTTGAAAGTGACATCATCACTTGAATCTGTGAAAGAATCGTGATATAAAATCTATCAGATCTGTCAGGAACTCTACTAAGAACTGAAGCTATATAAAGCAATAAATTTCATCATATAATGGACATTATAGCAGCAGATGAGAGACAGATTCAAGTGCTTCTGAATGACAGAAGCAAAACCTTTCAGCAAAGGGAATATATCAGTATCTTTCCTGATTCAGATGCTGAAACACTGAATTGAGTGAAAGTGAAACTTTTTATCAAGATTTTATATCAAATTTTGATAACAAAATATCAAGATTTTTAGCCAAGATGAATTTTATTTAGGTTTTCTTTTTGAAAACAAAAAGAAAAAGGTTTTAGCATTCTTTATAAATCAATATCCATTATTTGTTATATTCTAATTTCTTTAGTCTGGAAACATTCAAAGATGTAAGACAAATGTAAACATATCACTATTGATTGGTATCTCAAATTCTTGAGTGATGGTATCCAGGAGAAACTGGGCTGGGCTATGATGTCCTCAGAACAGAATGTCCATTTAAGCCAATAAATGGTTTTGCTTGTTTAGATTCTACTTCAATAAATTGTCTCCAAACATTGAGGACATAACAAGGAATTGTTATACCATTATATTTGCCATTATATGCACACATACTTTGGCATAAACATAAAAATGTAAAAAAATTTTTTAGCAGAACTAATTTCCTGATAGTATTCTGGAAATGTCTTTGTAAAGCTTTTTAGCAACAATACAGAGTGGTTTTTCTGGGCTGCTCCTACAGCTTTAGAGTTTAATATATAACTATAGCATTCTTTAGTGAATTCCTATCTGAGTATTAACCAGGCCCAACTCCACTTGATTTCTAAGCCCAGAGTGTAAGTCAGTTACTGCTACTCATGGAGACAACTTCATAACCAAATCAAATAATTTATTACTTGCTTCCTTGCTCACAGAACAACCTCGATGATGTTCTGGGAAACTGAACAATTAAAATGCACTGATTTAAAAATGAGGATAAATTGTTTTGATATGTGCCAATTTCTTCTTTAGATCGCAATGAAAGATAATTGGATAGCCTAAGCTGTTTAGCACTTTAAAGTTTAATACCACCATCATCTTATGTTGTGTGTGGTAAATATATTACTATCAAGATAAATGTTTCAGTATAAACATTATACAGTTCAGGCGTGAGTCAGCAGTTACCAGTTATATCTGGATTAAGCTAATATTTATGATTTTTAAAACTCTGGTCCTTATTGTAAATATTAGAATAAATTATTTTAATCTCTGTTAATTCTATGAAATTGATGCTAATTTAATTATCTTATTGCATCAGAACAATTAACTATAAATGTTTAGTGATATTAGCACATTATTTTTTAAAAATGGTTTAGAAGTGACTATTCCTTATAGTTGTTTCTATACCGATCTTACTATTTATTGAATTGCTGTATCAGAAATATTTAATTGACAATAATTCCACAAAAGTAGGACTAACAAAAATTGACCTTTTAAAATGAGCAAAATACTGTAAGAGTAATCTTAGAAACTATTTTGTGCCCTCAAATAAGAATTATTTTTAATGCTTTCATTTCAGTGACACATGCATTATCCTTTTTCATCTTTTGATTTTTTTTATGAAGTGTTATTTACTGTATATGAAACAGTTTTCTTATAAAGAGCGGCAACCTTATTTTGTTCTTATTCAATGCTTTCTAGCTTCTTTAACTTTAGTCTGATATTAAATAATGGCAACCCTTAAAATAGGAAAGTGCATAAATAGATGGCAAGCTCCAAACTGAAATATTTTTTGTTCAGCTGCATGTATCATAGTAGGTCTGAGCTCATTGCATATTTGGTATATTTATAAGCCACTCCATTTAAAACCTTATATTTCATAACTATGCATTATTTAGTATTGGTGATCTTTAACAATTGAGAGTGCCTGATTTTTATCAGTGTCAGAATGGTACAAAGGAAATTTCTGTAATTATTCTGATAGGAAAAGCACTTCAAAGGAAGACTTCACAGCCATTATGATTTCACTGGTTCCACTGTAACTATCTCTAATCTATTTCACAGATGTGGGACTTTTGATAAATCTAACCCATGTAAATACTACAAATTATTCCTCCTTCCTTCTTTCCTTCCTTCCTTCCTTCCTCCCTCCCTCTCTCCCTCCCTCCCTCCCTTGGCAAGAACTGTAGTTCTTACTTTCATTTTCAACGTCTAGGTCATTTTGGTTTCATGTAAATGTCAAAAAGGAGTGGAGAGAGTACTGAGCCCTGTGGCAGGCCACAAGATAGCGGCCAAGGGCTGGACCTTCCCCTATCAACACTGATTCGCACAGGCCTTGGAGTAAGGAGCCGAACCAGCACAAAATTGTGCCATCAGTCCCAGCCCCCGTAACTGACCCAAAAGTATACCATGGTTGATGGTATCAAAAATCGCTGAGAGAGTGAGGGTGATTGCACCACCCCATCCTGCTCTTGTGAAAGATCATTAACAAGCGTGATTAATGCAATTATGATTTTGTAATTGGGCCTGAATCCTGACTGAAAGGGTCCAGATAATCTGGTTCATCTAGGACCTTCTGAAGCTGCCATTCTACCACCTTTTCCACCACCTCTTCCAAAAAGGGGAGATTGGAAACTGGACAAAAGTTTGATTTGCACTTAGCATGTGTGAACACTATTCATAAACAACTGTTTGTGATTATGGTTATATGAAATGACAGAGTTTTCATTGATTCATGACCAGTGATTAAAGAAGCTATGGCCTACTGCAATCCTCTATTGGCAGATGTTCAATTTATTTAGTTTATTTTTTTATTTGGGATATTTATGTGGCCACCCAATTCAAATAATATTTTAAGCATCCTTTGAAATGATTGTTGTTGGAGAATAATAGCTCTCATACTAAAAACAAAGTTTCAATGAGATTAATTATTTTCTACCATGGTACCATTTTTAAAGATCAAAGTTATGTCTATTCTAGCTGTGTAGATGATTAGCTATCACAGGATTTTCAGCACTGGAAATTGAAGAGCAAGGCAGGCTGGGAAATGCTGGAATAAAAGTTTTAAACGTTTTAATTCCTTTTTCTCTTTTGCATACCATCTCTTATTATTAAGTAGGCTCCCCAAAACTATTCAGACAATCTAGGCATCTAAATTGGGGCTTGATAGAAAAAAAGAGGATGAAATAATACTTTTCATGAATTTTATGACTTCCTTTACGTACCTATAAAGACTGATTGATTTTGGCTTGAGGTTCCTTCAAAATCACTACAGGACCACTTATTCCTAGTAAAATTAAAGTATCTGATACATTATTCATTATATTTATTATCAATACTCATTTTCAGAGTATTATTAGTATTATCAGAAAGTAAGAAAAACAGGGAAACACCAGCCCTGGAGTTTTTGAAAAGCTGAGCTTAGCATATTATTATCTCACCCTCATTAAAATCCTGATAAATTTTGACCTCCATTTTTGTGTCAGATAAGTTTCAACGTTTGTTTTTAATGTTACTATATGGATAATACTGGAATTTAAATACAACTCTGATCCATGTAGCCATGAGAATTTTATAATATAGAATCATCCAATTTAAAAATACATTTTAAGTAAAATGTATATTTCACATTGTCATTGCTTTGAATCAATCAGTTTTAAGGAACTGCTTTTAAAATTTTTGCAGTTTTTTAAAATGACATTTTCATGTGAATCAAGCAAGACAGCATTCTTGGTGGTTTACTCAATCTAAGTACTTATTTGGTTTATTATGGCCCAGGTTTCATAAGTGCTTCTGAATTTCCACAACGATAGTATATTTCATGTTTACTGGATGCATAAGAGAATGTTCAGTAAGAGTTGGTTACTATCACTCTGCTTTTGAGACATAACTCGGAAAATGGAACACTAATCCATATGATTTGGTCTTATTCTATTATTGTTGCATTTTATACTTACATAAACAAAATGATTAATATGATTCTGGATCAAATATCATGTTAAAGATGTATGTTCTCTATGTTATTTGAACTATTGAGATACCAAGAATTATGCATTTTGGGGACAAAGGGCTGACTAAAACAGTTATTATACAGTGGTAGAAAAAAGCAATTAATTGCTGATATATGTAGTTTATCAACATTAAGATTATTAAGATTGTATTGGTTCTTTAATACTATGAACTGGATGCATCACGGCTTTTATTTTGTTATTATTTAATATAGTCAAATAAAAATTAAAAGAGCATAATATAGTCTGGCATTTGAAACAATAATAGAGCTTAGTGCAGTTTAATTTGATTTATTTTTTAAAAAACCTTCGTATTGCAATATATTAAGCCAACTAAAGTGAATTTAAATGCTGGCTTAATCAATAAAATATTTTAATTTTTTATGAATTTTATTTAATATGTATTACAATGGTATAAGCAAACTATGCGGTTCAATGATTCTAGTAGCATCCACAAGACTAACTAACTTGATTGCAACAGTATTAGAAATATACTTCATCTGATGGCTATCTGGGCCCAACTTTGGTAAGATTTATGAATTTGTGCTCCATACAGCTAAATTTGATGTTTTTCATTGCGGAGAACAGACAGGTTGGTGGGGTTAGTGAGGAATTTTATAAGTCTGTGGTAACAAAAAAGATACAGATCTGATAAGACTTTGAAGGCTATTCTTATTATGAAGTGGATGCTTATACTCCAATAAAGATGGCTCGTTTTGAAGATGTTACCAGAGTCTGTGTCTGTCTAGAATCCACTATTAGTAGTTCAAAATTTTAGGCAGAGTAATGAAATTCAAGAATAAGACTGTTTTTAAAATTGTTTTTAATGAAAAAAATACTGTGCGAATAGAACAACAATATAACAAAGACATTTTAGCAGATTCAAGGAAAACAAGTTTGTGGAGAAAAAGAAGGAAATGAAACATTTAAAATATTTATCTAAGATCGGCCATTTTTCTAGAAAGTTCACCAAAATATGGATGTAAGACTAAACCATTTTTTCATTACCAACCTAAACAAATTACCAAAAAGTAAATCCCAACTCGAATTTACTTTCAAGTCATGTGTGTACCGTAGGGTTGAAATTCCAATGGACAATCATATAATAAAATTATTCACCTCATGTCTCTGTGTTACTTTTGTTGTTTTTTTACAAATAATTTCTAGATTCTTGATCCTAGCCTTATGTGTTTAGAAGTAAGGCTAATTTAATACTACTGAATTTATTTTAAAGTATGTATTCAGAATCATATACATTTCTATACAAATTCTGGTTTGGACTAATCCTCAGCCTATAATTCTGGAAGGATATGATGATGGCATAGTTTTTCTGTACCTGACAGACACATATGTATCATATTACATTTCTGTAGTTTCTGAAGCCTCAGAACAATAGATTTTTATAAAGTAAAACACAAACTTTCTTAAGTTTGTCATTTTACAGCAACATAAGTTTTAACAACACCATGAACAAAACTGGCAAAAATATTTTCTTCAGTGGCATTTTTTGCCTATTCCAATTATGATTGTAATGCTACTTTGTTATGAACAAATCAGAAAGAAAACAGTTCATAGATTGTGTTGACATACTTAATTGTCATGTGGAATAGAGTCCTGGCAGTTTGGCTGGCATGGAAAGGTGGGGGAGAATTTTAAGATTTTTTTTCTTTAAGTAGCTAATCTTTAGCCCTATTTGACTGTATGGGGAAGGAAGATGGAACAAAACTCCTGATAAAATTTGCTTTTGCAAGTCTTATTAATTTACTTTCATAGAAATGTATAATAATTCTTTTTATTATACTGTTGAAATAATTGTGTGCTTTTCCTGGTCTGAAAAATAGTTTCAGAGCACAAGTTGGATGAATGATCCCTATTCCTTCCAGCATTATAAGTCTGATTACTTTGTGGTATTGAAGATACTTTTACAAAAAAGAGAAATGGAAACAAACTGATCCAATGTGGTTTGAACATGCACTTTCTTGGAAACAGGCTGGTTCTCACAACACGTTGAACACTGCTTTTAATTAGAGTGTGGTCGCAACCATATGTTGTTTCAAACGTATAGTGACTTTTATATGTAGCATGAGTGTTAATAGAGATGACTTCCTGTACAAAATTACAACTAAAAGAATACTTATGCTATACACAGAAAGGGTAACAATTTCAATTTCTTTCTAAAAAAATGTATAGTAGTTCATTTTGTTACATTTTGAATTTGATGTCAAATATTAAATCCTCAAGCCTTTATTTGGGAATAATGCCTAACTAAATTTTAAACCAAAAATGCCATTAAAGTCAACAGGATTTACTTTTAAGAAGTTTAATACCGTTGTACAACATAGATCTTTCCCTTTATTGTTTAACAATGTACATGTTACTTTGTCAATTTATACTGAAATTCTAAATTGAAATATTATTTAATATCTTGGAGGTTACTGCCAAATAATTTGTTTATAATTTTTTTAGCTGTAGCTTGACAAAGAAAGTGATTTAGGTACTATGCTGCTAACTTTTAAATATTCTTCCATATTTGAGTATCTTTTTACCTCTCTTGCAAAGTTTTTTCCCAGTTTTCTTAGTTCAAATTTAGAAGACAGCATTGCTACAGCCTGCCCCATTTTAACATTCTTCCTGCCATACATCTTAGTGTAATGTATCCTCCAACAGAGATGACTCATACCAGTTTCTAATGCACTTAAACCTTCTTAAAACTGAAAGAAATATCTTTAGAACAGAAACTTGATCCATTTGCATATATAATAGGGACTGATAAGCCTCTAACTATGCTACTTGAAATAAAATATCCAATATCCATATTTAGCTAGTGGCTGGAAAGCATTACATTAAATATAGATGCTTGTATAGTCTGCAAGTTAAGTGTTCCAACTCTTTAGAAGGAATCTTTGAGACAGAGAAAGAAAAAAAATCCCTTTACCCAGCAGACTCAAGATTTGCATTTTTTATTGGCCCAGATATGTTGATTCAGGTTATGATGATCCCTGTCTCTTTTGATACTGTATTCTAAGCTTCTCCAGCTGTTCTACACATTGTGTCTGGGTCAACTTCAGTGTCCGGTTCTCTTCTGTCAGATCTGCATACTCCTTCGTTAACTGTGCAGCATCCCTGTTCTCTTTTTCAGCTTCATCTAGCCTAGTGATCAACTTTTTTCTGAAAAAGAAAACAAAAATTAAGCGTCTTTTATTTTCCAAGGTTATATTAAAGGTGAACACAGATATCTTGGCTTGGATCCAAAGATCCCATGAATAAAAAAAGAAAAAGCAGAATTGCTTTCTGAAAACATCAGTTAGTGGGAAATGTATGATTTTTCCCCCTGGGAAAACTCAAGTTGGTGTGTTCAATTAGCAATCAACATGCTCATCATGGTAACATTGTGTATAATTTCACTAACAGCTGTAGGTAAATCTGAATTAAAAGGAAGAAATAGTTGTCTTATAATGTATGTATGTATGTATAGTATTTATATACATTCTTTGTATAACCTCTTGATTTTTTCCCTTTCAGATACCCCTGCTGCAGTTGTTATTAATGGAAAGCAACTATGGACAGGTCTGAAGGGTCTTTTAATCATTAGTTCTAGGTTCTATTTTTAATTAACAACAGTGATAATATGGTAAGTATTGGTAACAAATTACTCATTTGAAACATAAGCGTGTAACTTAACATACAATATTATATATTATTATATGTTATATTATATATAACATATAATAATATATACAATACTAAAGGATAAAACTAAACATCTAATGCTGAGTTTACCCAAATACTGAGTAAGAGACACAATGCCATTTTAAAAAAAATTTTTTTTCAGTGTTCCTGAGCATTTGGTTTGCTCTTTGAAAAATTGGGTTGTATCCATTGTTCAGGCAGTTTTCAGTTTATGTCCATAGGCCATAGTTTCCCACAATCAATAATTATTTTCAGTTAAATACAGTACTTACAATAACTATTTTCCTCCCTTGCAACTGTATACTTTCAATGAGGCTGTTTATCAGAAACAATAATATAGGAGCTGAATTTTTATTACCAGTGGCAACCGTGAAAAAGAGAGGCAGAGGAGAGGCACTGAAGCCAGGCAATTCTGTGCTATGTCTCTCCCTTGCTTGCACACTTGCTCCTTGACACAGGAAACCACTGAGAAAATTTAAGTGTCATGACTTCTTTTTTGTGCTGTCCTGCAAATGGGTTCACCTGTTTCGTATACTTTCATATGTGTGTGAATAAATGGAAGATGCTGTGTGTATTTGGATTTGCGGTACTGTACTTGAGAAATGAGGGAAGGAATCATGATGAACTACCTCCTAGCAGCATCTGACTAGGATTGTCTGTTCAATGCAGCCTTTACTGCACAAGAATGCTTATTCCTATTGATCAGGGAGCAAGTTAGAAAGATAGAAAAACAAATTCACAGCTAAAAGGAGATTTTTAGTCATGTGAACCTAAAACAATATTTGAAGTCAACCTGTGTAAACGACCTCCAGAGTACTACTGGTTCCATCCAACAACCATGATGATTCCTTCTAATACTAGTAGGTTAAGTACATTTTATCACATATGTCTTACTGTTTTCAAATTTACTGCACTTTGAATCAGTTCTTATAGCACACAAATTCATATCTGGTTATCAAAAAGAAACATATTTTCATTAAGACTTTATTTCAGAAATCTCCTCTCCCATGTGTGAAAATTGGGAGACTACCACATCATATTTTGTTTTAAATGGTTTCTTCTAGATTTTTATAACCGAAAACCATCCAACAGTCCTACACGTCATAGAATCAGGTTGAAGAAAGCTGGTTTCTCTATTAGTTAATTAAAGCCATGAAAACTTGCTGATTTGCAAAAGCAAATCCAAGTTATTGGATGTAACATTTCAATTTATTCTTAATGCTTTGAATTCTCTGGATTTCTAAAGTACTTTCAAAATTATTGCACTGTAAGTAAAATCAGACCAGACGCTGTCTTGACAGAGAAACATGAAACATTGGGAAAGTACATATCTTATGTTTATTGTTTGTTTGTTTGTTTGTTTGTTTCATTTCTACAGCCATCAATCTCAACAAATGACACTTGCTACTTTCAATGCAAGTCACATATTCCACCTATTCACAGAGATAAATGCGTTTTTATTTCACCTTAGTTAAATCACTAAACCAGTTTATGACTCAGTGACAAACTGAGTATTTGTGAAATATGGGGGAAACAAACTTACTTTCTTTCTTCAAGCAGTGCAATTTCTTTTTTGACTTCATAGTATTCTTCTGCTATTTGGCAATGTTGTTTGAACACCTGCATAGATTCCTTTGAGTCATGGCAGGGAGGCAGGGGCTTTATGAATAAAGAAAAAAAAGGTATTTAAATATAAATAGAATTTAAATGGAGATGTCATTTGAACATAAAGAGGAGATGCTTTATTTGATATTATTCTTGTGAAAAGGTTTACATTGCCTCTTCTCCCTGGGAAAAAAAGATATATGATCTGGCTTTTTATTTAAGGAAAAAGTAATTAACTTTCATTCAGAATACCATTTTGTGCCTCATTTAACAAAACAGAATAAATATTAAATAAGAAGCAATGCAATAACCAAAACATAAGAAGAGAAAAACTGAATAAAATAATGCATTACTAGAATCACACTTGGCAGTATTGCCTAGAATTTTGATTTCAAAAGTAGTACTTAATAATTTAGTATATCAAGTTAGTGAAGAATTGTGAGTAAAAGTTCACCATGTGGTTTTTTAAAAGAAATATGTACAGTATTTAATTTAAAAAGTAAGCACTCTTCTTTCACTGTATGTTGTTATTTAGAAATGGTCATATTAAGCATATAGATCCCAAATATTCTCTGGTGACATCCCGTTTTTTATTTTATTTATTTTTCACATTTTGAACTGCCCACCTGCCTCAAAAAGTGAGGACAAATCCATAATTTCTGTTTGCCCTATTGCCAGTATGGGCCTCTCATTGCTTCTGGAAGGCAGGAATAGATGGCATCCATCCAGAGTCATTGAGATTCAGATGGCAACAGGTTTAATACATAATAATAAATTATAGTTTGTTGCACAGTCAGCCAGATGTTCAGGTTGGATTTGGCATTTTTATCCACCTATCAAATTCTTCCCAAGGACCTGGGATATACAGAAAGCAACTGATGGTGTTAAAGAAGATTTTGTCCATGCTGATGGTGTTCAAGTGATGTTTTGGGATTGTATCAAAGGTGCCTTTTACTTTTCATACTACCTTTGCTTTCTTTTGCCACAGTTTATCTACTTCTTTTTGCAGGTCTTTGTATTTCCTCCAGTCTTGTCTTCTATTCTGCTACTCCAGATACTGCTACTGTATGTCCACTATCCAAACTTTTTTGTCTTTCTTACTGACAATTGTTAAGTCTAGGACTTATGTGGCAGGTGCTTGTCCATTTGAATTTTAAAGTCCCAGAACAATTTAGCTTCTTCATGATATTCCAATGCATCATTGTTGCTACTTTATCATGCCGTTGTTTGTAGTCAGTCTGTACAATCTTCTTGCAAGATCTGACTTTGTGAACTCTTGCTTCTTCAGCTTCTTTGTAGAGGCAGCACTTGTTGTCTATTACTGTCTTCTCAATTCTAGTTTTGTACGCATTTGTTCTTAAGTCTTGGTCTTGTGCAGTCAGAATTAGCTCCTCTGTCTCTTTCTTCAATTTTCTGGCTCTTAGCCATTGCCACATCTCATTATGAGATTTACCTCCAATCTGTGGCACTGTAGTTACAAGCAGTCTTCAATTAACAACATTTGTGTTGTAACTGTTTGAAGTTACGACACTGAAAAAATGACCTGTTGTTTTTCACACTTATTTATTATTTATTTTTTATTTTATCATATTTGTATACCGCCCTACTCCCGGAGGACTCAAGGCGGTTAACAGCCAAGATAAAAATACAAAAAACATACAAAAGTTAAAAGCTATTAAAAATAGATTAAATAATTTGGGCTCAAGAAACAAATTTAAAACATCCAATTTATATAAAACATTTAAAACCCAATTTAAAAGGGAGAGTTAGGCCAGGCCAGCCTGTTGGAATAAAAACGTTTTTAGGACGTGGCGAAAGGTGCGTAAGTCTTGGATCCTCCGTATCTCCAGGGGGAGCTTGTTCCAGATGGCAGGTGCCCCCACAGAGAAGGCTCTCCCCCTGGGGGCCATCAGTCAACATTGTTTGGCCGACGGCACCCTGAGGAGCCCCTCTCTGTGGGAGCGAACTGGTCGGTGAGAGGCTACTGGTGGCAGAAGGCGGTCTCGTAAGTACCCTGGTCCTGAGCCATGGAGCACTCTAAAGGTGGTAACCAAAACCTTGAAGCGCACCTGGAAGACCACTGGGAGCCAGTGCAGCTCGCGCAGGAGGGGAGTCACATGGGAGCGCCACATCGCTCCCATCACCACCCACGCGGCCGCATTCTGGATCAGTTGGAGCCTCCGGGTGCTCCTCAAGGAGAGCCCCATGTAGAGAGCATTGCAATAGTCCAGGCGTGAGGTGACAAGGGCGTGAGTGACCGTGCGTAACGAGTCCCGATCCAGAAAGGGATGCAACTGGCGAATCAGGCGAACCTGATAAAAAGTCCTCCCGGCCACGGCCATCATATGCTCTTCTAAAGACAGCCGTGAGTCCAGGAGGATGCCCAAGTTGAGAACCCCATCCGTGGGGGCCAACGACTCGCCCCCAATAGTCAGTGATGGCGCCAACTGACTATATCGGGACATCGGAAACCACAGCCACTCGGTCTTGGATGGGTTGAGCCTGAGTCTGTTCCTCCCCATCCAGATCCATACGGCCTCCAGGGACTGGGACATCACTTCAAGGGCATCATTGGGGTGGTCTGGGGTGGAGATGTACAGCTGGGTGTCATCAGCGATGGTACTTCACCCCAAAACCATGGATGATCTCACCCAGCGGCTTCACATAAATGTTGAACAGAAGGGGCAAGAGGACCGATCCTTGTGGCACCCCACATACAAGGGGCCTCGGGGTCGACCTCTGCCCCCCTATCAACACAGACTGCGACCGGTCGGAGAGAAAGGAGGAGAACCACCATAAAACGGTGCCCCCCACCCCCAACCCTTCCAACTGGTGCAGCATGATACCATGGTCGATGGTATCAAAAGCCACTGAGAGGTCTAATAGGACCAGGACAGAGGAGCAACCCCTGTCCCGAGCCCTCCAGAGATCATCAACCAATGCGACCAATGCCGTCTCAATGCTGTACCCGGGCCTAAAGCCCGACTGGAACGGGTCTAGATAGGTCGATTCATCCAGGTACTGAGGCAGCTGTCGCGCAACCACATTCTCAACAACCTTCGCAACAAAGCGAAGGTTGGAGACAGGATGGTAATTTGCTAACACAGCCGGGTCCAGGGAGGGCTTCTTGAGGAGGGGCCTCGTCACCGCTTCTTTCTTATGACCATTGTACATTCATTCCCATGCTCATGTGATCAAAATTTGGATACTTGGCAACTGGTATGTATTTATGACAGTTGCAGTGTCACAGGGTCATGCAATCACCGTCTGCAACCTTCTGGGACAAAAAAAGTCAATGGGGAAGCCAAATTCATGTAACAACGTATTACCAATTTAACAATTGCAGTAATTCACTTAACAACTGTGGTAAGAACAGTCATAAAATGGGATAAATCTCACTTAACAGTGGTCTTGCTTAGCAACAGAAATTTTGGGGTCAATTGTGGTCATAAGTTGAGGACTACCACTACCTGTAGGATGGTCCAACAAGGGTAATAAAACAAAATAACAATGAGAGGACTGTATTAGGCTCAAGCAAGAGAATGCAGGAAGAGGCAGTGAGGGATTCCTCTGTGCAAAGATGAAAAGTACAGAAAGAAGAGAACAGCATCCCAAAGGATAAAGGAGGCAGTATTTGACTAAGGCACCAAGGGAATAGTCTTGAGGCATAGATGGAATTGCTACTACAAACAACTGTCAGATGAAAGCAACCTGAGCCCAGGGCAGAACTCGTATAAGACTCTCTTCTAGATCTCACAAAGGTAAAGGGAGAGAGGTGGAGTGCATTAAAATGCGGATTAGGTGCATTAAATGCATTCTGAAAAAGCTTGATGAACAATTCCAAGCACATTCAGACTTGCAAGATTCTGAAAGACTTGAGGTATAATAAATTGATAGGATGAGGGGTATCTAATCTAATATCTAATACAGCCATATTGTTTCCTACCTCAACAATTTAATATTCTTGGCAAGCACCTGTTTTATCACTTTAATAAGTCATTGGCCACATCTTCTAAATTCTAAAGTGTGGTACCATAATGCCTGCTATCTTTCAGTTTTTTATCATCCCATTTCTTTTTTGTTCCCTTTTGTCATGAAAAAGCTCAAGCCAATATACAAATTATTTCTGCCTCTAATTTTATCTACACAACAATCCAATGAGATGGTTAGCATTAAGATACAAGACTAGCTCCAAATTACCCAGAAAACTCTTTTTGAGTGGGAGCTTGAAATTGCATTCTGAATCCAACACTCTTGTCCCTATGCTACACAACTCTGAGTGCTCTGTCTATCGTCAAACAGAACTTCTAGTCTTGTGCTAATTTAAATTACATTTAATCAATAATAAATAAATATCAGGTAGAGCCACATAGTGTAATTATTGCTACTAAAAATGAACCTTTAATCTTCTGAATATGCCAGACAGAAATGCTATACATCCTGCTAGAGTGTCAGGAAGGCAGCAGCTCTTCTCATCACAAATGTGTCCTGTGCATGTCAACAGTATCTTGGAAAGGTTCATTGATTTAGATTAATAACATATTTTACATTCCAATAACAGAATACTTGGGGATGTGATAGAATGATAACATTCATTGGAGTAATTTGAAGCCATCATTCTGAGGATCCGTTGTAGGCTTATTATTAATAATAAAAGTAGTGCCTTAAGTTTTTAAATCTTTTGTACAAAAATTACCCACATGCAGACAATTGCTGAGTATTGTGGGTTTTTCTATTATGTAGTCATACTGTAGATAAAGGTATTTGGAAGAGATTCACATTGCTGAAATAAATTCTAGTTTTCATACCTACTGGATAGGATCCACAATAATATTCTGTTGGAAGAGGGCAGTTTTAGTAGGAAGTTCCATAGTAAGCATTAAAATGCATGCTACATAACGACAAGCATGCACAATCCAAGAGTGTTTCAGCTTTACTGAACCTTAATGTAACGTAATTGGTGTGGAATGGAAGATGTTGTTAACATAAGAATGCATTGTTTTAGTTTTCTTTCATTAAATCTTCTGTGTCTGTGTTCTGTGTTTTGTAATAGG